CCGCCTCGACAGAGTCGAGATTCTGTCTGTCCCGCAACTGGGAAAATTACTTTAGGTGCTGGTTCGTTAATGGTATTGAGCACAAACATTTATCTTTGTTCGAACGGAACATAATTTTTGTCGATAGGACATCAATATTGGCTTGCTGCTATCGTTGAATCGTATGTGGTAAGATATAGAAGATAACTGGACGTGGAGATTGTACTTCGTCAAACTCGCAGGCATCACAGTTGATAACAGATTCACCTGGACACCACATATCGACACACTTTGTGAAAAACTTCGTAAAAATTGTTATGAGTTGAGATTCTTGTCTAACTACTGTAATGCTGAAATCCTGTCGAGTCTGTATTGTGCCACGATTTACTGTCATTTACGATATGGGATTTTTAATTAAGATTCGGGATCGTTCGTGGAAAGGATTTTCATACTACAAAAGTCGGCAGTTTGAATAATTGCTAAACTTGGATAGAGTCATGTAAGAGCTCTTACAAAAATATGAAACTTTTCATATATTTTATTCTAAAAAAAGAGGTTAACTGAAAAGTTTTGCAGGAGTTTTGAAAATGGGTAATCTAATTGGTTTCGATGTGCTCCTATTTTGCTACCTCGTATCTCTACCGCTCGCGCTGACACATTGAAAAAATTGGGTCTAAAAGTAATTTTTTGGCAAAATCTTCCAGACTTATTGTTCTACAAAATAAAAATACAAATTTATGTAACCTTCCTTTTTTCGTGAAATAAATAATTTTCGCGTACGAGAACTGCAAAACAACTGTACATACATCTACACCAACAAAGGCGAAAATACCCTGCATGGCTGAATCTAATGTATCGTCAGATGTCCTCATATGGGAATGTTCCTACGGGACTTTGAGGTGCTGGGAGTCTCGCACCTTGAACATAAAACAACCTCAATATCGGCCAATGGACTAGAATTTTTTCAGTATATTATTTTGGCTGCCAGAAGATGACGTTTTTCGGCATCCATCAGCATCTCTTGGCTGATGGGTGCAATTAATACCCTGCAGCCATTGGAGAGCATCTCCCAGCAATGTGTCACAAGATATCTACTAAGCTACACATTTGTGTTGCGTACCTACTTGTCGAAGGTATTAGTCGCAGTGGCCGACGATCAGGTTTTCATCAGACTGTAGAAAATGTACCGTGGTCTGTCAACCTTTGAGGGAATTATTCTTCACAAGGAAATCCAGGCACTGCTTGCCGAGCGCATACCCTGTGCCTGCTTTGCCGCAAACGTGATCAGATTTCAGCGTTTGGCAGAGTCCCACTCTAGCCGGCTGACCTGAAAGGTCTCCCCCAAATAAAATCAGCTACGTTGAAAAGTTTGATTTATTTAAGTTTGAAATAGGAAAGCCACAATAAACTCTCGTGGGTTCCAGTGAGAGTTCCAAGATACCTACTCACTTTGGACCTACCTAGCTACCAATCAAGTGACATTCAACTATAACTGATTACATTTATGAATTATAGTAACAACTCGACTATGCCACAAAATAAATTCCAAAGCAATGTTGCTGAAAAGAATAGAATCATTGTAATGTTGAAAAAAAAATCGCGCTGAGAACTTGAAGATCAAAAAGTCACGGAAAATAAGTTAACGCTAATAAAATCAATACATCAAAACGAATTTCATGGACATCCGATTCCGTAATAGTTGTTGGTAGATTCAGTTTTTCTTGTTCTTTGACGATTCTATCTACGCGTTCAAACAAATATAGGTATATTATCAAACTAGGAATAGGAAAAATTTTGCAAGAAATATTTTCAACAAACTCGTGAAAAAAACAAGCGCAGATCATATTTTATTCTCGCCGCTTTCAGTGGCTGTGAAAAATCCAGATTTCAACAAGGTTATCCAGGTATTCAAAATTCCAAATGCTGATTTAGAAATCATTGTTAAAGCTGGAGAACGGTTCCATCTTGACTTCTACAGCTGCAGTGATGTGAAAAGTAAAAAAAGTGTTTTGGAAAAAATTTTTGGCTTTCTATTTTCCCATCTGATTTTTTTTTCAAAAATCTAATCTCTCCTGAATAATTTACCCCTTTCATTTCTGGAAAAGTGTTGTTGAACAACTATATACATGCATGATTCACAACAGAAGCAGCAGCACAACCGTTCCGAAAACACATCCGTTTCAGCAGTGGTATGGGACTGAACAAAATGCAATAGGGATAGAAAAGAAATAAGAACGAACTACTTCCTGTCACATTTGAGTGTCCAGTTCCGGAGAGATTGTTGAAACTCATTTCTTGCAAATACAAAAAAATGATGTCAAAAAGCTTACAGATGCATAAAGGCTGGGTTGAAGTGCACTGCTATATTCACGAATTGCAGTGGTACCTATGATAATTCGTGATCACGATCACGAGATAGAGATGAAGGGGAAGAAACAGAAGACTATTTCCGAGCGAATGTATGATGAATCGAGAACAAAGAGGGTAAAGATGAATTTTGGTATTGTGCATTGCATGTGGATTGGTCAGTCCTTACTTACTGGGGATACCACGATAAAAAACGTGTCGATTACTGTACCTCGAAATGATTTTTTGGCAAAAACGCGTGCTGAAGTATACTTTGCTGCGCTCGTTAGTAGAAATTTTTTTTTGGTCCAATTTCATATTTGTTTTTATTGTAAATTGGGTCTGAAGGGAGATATTTTCAAAAATCTACTAATACGGTGACACAAGCGTCAAAGATACGTGCCGGCAAAATTGAAATTCGGAAAGAATTAACCGAAATCTATAAAATTACCGATCTTCAAAACTTCCAGAAAATTTTCCAGACAAAACTACCGAATCATTACCTACCTATTATTGCTTCGATTTGTGTGAGCCAAAATGTTAATAGCTATTAAAGTACCTATGCAGTTATGTTGTTCACTATAAAATACCAGAGTCTTTGAAATTTTTAGACTTAGAAAACATCCCTCGGCAAATGCTCAAATTTAATACTACATTAATTTGTTTCATTATTGTAAATATAAATATATTATTATTCTGTTTCAGAGTTTGAAAATTCTCTACTTTTTATATGCTGCCACGTTTATTTTTCATTCATTTATAAAATAAACCGGGAAAAACAGTATTCGTTGCATTTTTATTTTATATATCCCATCCCAAAAGCAATATTTATATTTAACAATTTATCTAAAATGTAACTGATGTAACACAGAAAATCAAAAAATCGTTTCAGGTAGGTATAAATAGAAGATTACAAATAATGCTTTTTTAATGTATTCTTCCTCTGACACAATTTTATGACCGGATCAAATTAGGAAATTTTATATTAGAATCGAGTATCTATTACATAATTCGTTACATTTTAGTGTCATATTGACAAGATATTCAAAATGGGATTGCATTACTTAATTTTGAAGGTATATTTTTAGTTTTTTCAGTCAACACAAAATTGCAGAATTTTTAATTTACCTAACACTCAAATGTAGCATTTATGAAACCAATACTCCATTCCAAATTTCAATTTCCTAATTACATTCGTTCAAGAAATGAGAGAAAAGAAGACAGTTTAAAGAAAAGTACTGTAAAAGGGCATAATATAATCTGTTTTTTCTACAAGAAAAATACTTTATTGTAACAACATCAATACTTGTATGAAGTGGAAAATCAATACCGTTATTCTTGATATAGCTAAATATTAATATTTCGTAAAATATAATTTTCTTCCATGAAGACTATTAATTTCTTTCACTCAATAGCAATTCTTAAATGAAGTAATGAACAACTCTTATGTTAATAATAAGTGGTGTAGTATCAAGAAGAAAGATATACTTGTGACTGAAAACTATACTTAATGTTGGAGTTTTCACCATTTTTTGATTGGGCTATTATATGCGGCATTACCTTGTTCGAAGATTGAAGAAACAAATTCACATCTCCTGAAGAAATGGAAGGCAGCTCAGAAGATTGTCGATATATTCTGGCAACGTTGGTCATGTGAGTATGTGTCATCACTAATTAAAAGAAGCAAATGACACAATGAACGGATTCCTCTCAAAATAGATGATATTGTTCTCATCTATGAACCTAACGCACCTCGGAACTGTTGGCTCAAAGGAAAAATAGTTCATCATCATCCAGCAAAGGATGGAAAAATACGTGTTACCGATGTTATGATAGCCAAGAAAATAATTTTCCGAAGACCAGTCTCCAGATTATGTGTGTTGCTAGTACACGACCAGAACGAAAAGATGAGTAATTATTGGTGGGACAATTACTGAAGGTGATAATGTTGGAGTTTATTTCGTTTATTGAATTTAAAATTGCTACATTCTATATAATGATATTAGATGTTTTGTTAATATTTGATATTTATAAGGCTGTGTTTGGATTTTAATTTGGTTCTTCGAGACTGGATATTTCCAACAATACCTAATTTACAGGTGAAGTCAAAACACTTAATATGAATATATTCGAATATTTGAAAAAATAGTTTTTCTTCTACGAAGTATATTCAAATCTCAGAATCAATAGCTATTCTTGATTAAGAAAAGAACACTTCTCATAATAATAATAATTAATGTTCAAACAAAAAGAAAGTTATACTTAGTAGTCGGTAAAGTTTTAAATCTTAGAATAAGTACAAAACTACTCAAATTTCAAATATATAAAAAGCGTTAATACAAAGTTAACTATACTTGCGGAATGGGGAGATGATGGTATACTTGAAATAACAAGATTCAACTTCAATTCAGTGTAGCTTTTCTCCGTGTAGGTATATTATAACATAATTAAATGAAAATTTTGATCAAATGCGTAAATGTAAACAAATTGAAATGAAAAAATGTTTTATTTAATCCCATTTCTGTCAACAGAGATCAGGGTAGTTATTTACAATGTAATTATCTTGCTTTATCTCAAGGGGTTGTTTATTGCTCATATACCTATTGAGTTTATCTAATATGAACATTATATTAAAGTTTAAGTAAAACCAGGATAAATATATAAAGAATACTCACAGTCTAGAGCAGCAGAACATGTATCGTGAAACTTCAACAGGTTTCTCGAAATTCCTTATCACATCTCAGGTATCCGAGCATCCCACACCGCAGTCAATGGACGCGGAAACCAACAAGCCAAGAGAATGAAGATCCACAATAGAGTCACACAATCAACAGCCACTAAAAAAGGTAAACATTTACATTTTATGGTTAGTGAGCAAAGAAACGATAAGCTAGAATCTTAAATAGGGCAATTCGAAACATATAAAGAATCGTTACAAGATAATATTCAATATTCATAAATAAGATTGTTGAGAATGGTATATTGGGTAATGCAACGATTGAAGCAGCAACAATACAATTATGATGGAGTCCTTCAAAGGACTCGCCATCTCAAAAGTGACTGGTATGTGAACGCATTTTTTCTGAAATATCTGATAATTCAAGGTTTTTATTTGAAAATGGTTTTTTTATGAACATAGTTCATGTCATAGTTCAAGTCAAGTTAGTACAATCAATTGATTCAGTTTGGTTACAGTTATTACAGTTTGATACTTTTTATTACTCATAAAGATTTGAGTCCAGTTTGAAAATAATAGTTCAAGTTATGAAGTAAATTATTTATTGGTGGTTCTAGAACTGGGTAACCTTTTTCGATTTCTACCTTTCCAACAATATATGAATAATGAAAAACTTCGAAAAACATTACTTGTATAAATAATTCCTATTGCGGGGATAAAAGTAATTATATTCAATTCATGAACATCAGACCGTGTATTAAAAAAAGGATGCAAAATATACAAAGTAGTTGATAAGAAGTGGGGATCCACTTTCAGATTGAAAGATTCTTGTGAGAGAGTATTTATATCAATAAAAATGTTAATTGTATTTTATAAATGGTGAAACATAACTAGTATGAATTTGAATTAAACCTAGATATTCCTTTGAAGCCTGAAGAAGAATTATAGGTTATTTAGGATAATTACGTACAGCTATGTATATTATTCCTCTATTTCAAACTGGTCTAAAGTGGTAATGATTTTTTCATCTACTATTTTCTTTTGTAAGTTAAAGCATTGCAAGGAATATACCAACAACATAATTATGATCGACTTATCAGATGTAGGAAGAGCTTTATAAATTTCGATATGGTCACATTCGAGAGTGTTCTTGAATGTTCCGCAATAGATAGAAAGTTCAATATTATTCCTGAAAATTTCTCAAAAATTCCCCGAAAGTTCCCGTTATTACCTTCAGGTAAAAACGGGAACCTTCTTCAATGATGTGAGATGGAGGGCTGCATCACCAAAAACATCCTTTGAGAGTACCGGGGGACTCGTTTCAGAGTTTCAACGGCACGCACATTATACATTTTTTTATAATATATATGTATTGTATACTCGATTAAGAATATTTTAGGCAATTCCAACCGTTACCTTATTTAACAAAGGCAGCACAGCTTTTCATTGCTCCAATCTTAGAATGAAGAAACAAAAGAAGTTTATCAGTGAGTAGTCTCGGTGAAGACCATTCAAGAAATTTTCATCTAGTCTAGTATCGACAGAAAACTCAAACCATGGATAATCAAATATAAAGGGCGCGGCGGCCGTTTCTCTGAAGCTTTCACTTCAGACAGAAACCTAAATGAGACCAGAACCCAATAGGGATGCGATAATAAAATCCAATACCGGATCTGATCAGTAATACTAGAATTCGTTGCAACTTTTAAACTATTGATGTTTCAACAAGAACAACTATGAGTTAGTAGTGGCTACAGAAAATAAAGGAGGTAGTACTTGAGAATTTTACATTGGCCAATGCCGAATCTAGACAAACCATGGGACATGGTTATATATAAGACTTATGACTTTGAACTGTCTCTATATAAGTTAGATCTGTATGATCTCTCTGTAGAATAATTATCTGAGTGTTGTGCAGTAGCACATGAAAAATATATTGGTGTGTTATAGTTTATAGACCTCCTGGTACTGATCTCAAACTATTTTCAGAATGTTTGGCAAATATGTTGAAAACAGTTGCTTCTCATTATAACACTATTATTGATGGAGGTGATTTCAATATTAATTTCTTGGAATATAGTAATGGCAGGGCACTCTTTGAGGATTTGATAGGATGGATGTTATGATATATCAGTAACAATAAAGTCTCCAACTAGAGTGACTGCAATTTCTAGTACTTGTGTAGACAATATTTTCATAAGCTCCAATATAAATGACTGGCGATCAGAAGTAAAAAATCCGAATCTGTCAGACCATTTCTCTCAACACTTGGCATTCAATATCAAATATAACCTCAAATCTGCTCCTCAACAAGTATTCGCGAAAATTACCAGAACAGAATACTCTGAAGTTTCTGAATCAGTTGGAAGAGGAACAATGGGAAAATATTTACACCGAAAATAATATCAATAATGCCTGGAATAAATATCATCAGTGGTTTGATAGATTCCTGTTTCCCTATTCAAAAAATACCCATTAAAAAAGAGCTGAAAAGATAATTTGGTTTAACGAGGAACTTCTGCATTTAAAGCAGCAATTAACTCTTATATCGGATTTAGCAACAACTTACCCAATATATTATCAACCAAGGGCAGAGCTACAGAAACGCTACTGCAATGCATTGTTAGAAGCTAAGAAAATATATAATGATGATTTGATAATGAAAATAAATAATAAATCAAAAATTGTATGGAAAATTATTGATAATTTCAAAGGACGTTGTCGAAACAATATACCTATCAACATTCACGATGAAAATGGTAAACAGATGACTGACCCGGAAATGGCTGAGCAGTTCAACATCCTTTTCACTATATAGAGAACCATTTTCGGTAAACCACCATGATCTGGGTTATCTAAAGTTGAATATGCCAGTGTTAAAAAAATTGTTTTTTTTTAAAGCCAGTTACACCTGCAGATGTTGAAATATTGATTGGTGATTTGAAATCTTTCAACTCATTTGATTTGATGAAATATCAAATAACCTACTGAAAAATCGTATGCAGGTTTATGTGAACCATTGGCTTTTCTCATCAATCTTTGTTATTCTGAAGGAAATTTCCCAGAATGTTTGAAGTTAGCTGTGGTTCTGCCATTATACAGAAAAGGTGATTCTGATTACTTTTCCAATTATAGAGCCATCAGTTTATTGTGAAGTCTCTCTAAATTCATTGAAATGACATTACTAATCAACTCTCATCATTCTTGTGGAATCAAAGACTGTGATCCAAAAATCAACATGGATTCTGTAAAAATATAAGCACAGAATCTGCTCTGTGGGATTTTCAAAAATGTCTTGTAGACAATCTTGATAAGGGAAAATATGCTCTTGATCTTTTTACTGACTTTTCAAGGGCTTTCGACTTAGTCAATCATAGGTAGTAAGTTAGAATCGTATGGACTTAGGGGGATACCGTTAAAATTATTTGAATCATATTTAAATGTCAGAAGTCAGGTTGTTAGACTGAATGCAGTTCTGAGTAGTTACCGTGAAATAAATCAAGGTGTACCTCATGGATGTTTATTGGGACCGTTATTGTTTAATATATTTGTAAATGATGTAATCACTCTAATAGAAAGAAACCAAGATATAAACTTTGTGTGTTATGCAGACGATACCAATTCACTAATTTTTGAAAAAAGCATAGACATACTACTGAGTGAAACTAAGAGGATTTATGAAGATAACATTCGGTGGTCTGAAAAGAATTGTCTGTTACTGAATCTCAACAAAACAGTCACAGTATTTTTTTGGCGCTCCAAACAAAAACACCTGTGTTATTCAAAAATACCGAAAAACAAATAACTTGTAGTCATGATGTGAAGCTTTTGGGAGTAATTTTCAACAAACATCTGCAATGCGCAAGTCATACAAAACTATTGTCTGATAAGCTGAGAAATAGTTGCCACAGCATGAAGTTTATGAAGTATGGTATTCTGAATTGGGGAAACAGTGCCGGTATGTATCGGGTCATCATTCTTCAAAAATACCCAATTCGAATTATGTAAAGTATACTTTATAACTCTTGGTGTATAAACAGTTTACGGTTTATACAGTGTCACTATTAAAGTGAGCACCATATGGGAAACTTTTTTTTCGAAAAGTTTCAATGAAGTATAACTTCGGCACTTGTTTGTGCTTTAAAATTAACTTAAAATGATGCGGCCAACTGCGACCCACTGACGTTCAGTGTTTGTTAAATTCAACTTTTTTTTTTGAAAAAAATTAAAAAAGTGCATTTCTAGATCGAATTTAACAAAGTTACTTGAAAAAGTTGTGTATACGGCAATTTTATATCCATATGCCAAATTTTATGCAATTAGGATGAAGTTAACGTTTTGCTAATTTTTGACAGATATCCCCTTTACTTTAAAAAACAAGTTCGGTTAATTGTCATCAATTCATGTATACATAACAAACTCATCATGGAGTTTAACTTTTCTTATACATTTTTTCTTATACGGACATTTTTAGAGAGAAATTAAAAATTTGCTACAGAAATTTTAACATGACTGATGCAAAGTTTCAATCACATGGCTATTTTCTTAAACAAACCTTTGATTTCGAAAAAGCAGAGGCATCTTAAAAAAAATGCAAATGATTTCGATAGAACTATTATTATTAGTATAAATTTTAAACAACAATAATATTATAGAAAATACAAAAGGGTACAAAAAATTACTTATTGATCTAAATGAGGTTGTCAAACACTTATAGCCTACATTTCAGTATGTCGTCCTCCACGTTCAATACAAATTATGGTCCTTCTACTGAAATCTGTAACTGCATTTTTAATGAATCGGGGATTTATATTTGCACAGCACTCGCGAATGGTATTTTCCAGATGTTGTATGTCGATAAATGGTCTACTTCGGTACACTTTTTGTTTCAGGTAATCCCACAAGAAAAAGTCTAAAGGCGTCAAGTCGGGTGATTTAGGTGGCCAATAATGTTCCCAGTTACGTCCAATAACTTTGCCTCTGAACATTTGTTGAAGGGACTGTTTTACAGCAACCGTGAGATGTATTGGTACGCCATCAAGCTGATACCATAGGTCGTATTCAATATTTAGGCATATTATCTAAAACTTCACTAACCTCGTTATTTAAAAGGTTGAGATAACCGACGGATGATATATTTTACCTAAAGAAAAATGGCCC